CACTAATGAGAACCTAGAGTCATACCAGGATGAGAACAGTTACCACAGCCCTTAGGGTTTTCATGGGATGGAGACAATTTGTACAGATGCCCTTCCTTTTAATACACATCAGGCCTCATCTCCCCTACTTAATATCCAGCAAAGACTATATAAACATTACAGTTCTAATCACAAAAGCCAACCAAAATTAAAATATGTCTAAAAAGGAACTCATCTAACTCCCAAACACTGCACAGATAGTTTAGTGAGTCCTTCCTAAAATGAGAAGAGACATTGCAGATCAGTCTGATGACTTACACTCAGCCTCTGTCAAGGTTTTCCTCATGAGGAATGTGAAATCTGCTCAGATTTCATTCCAGCATGCAATGTTAGAAATCAATGAGTAACCACGATAATAGGATAAGCAAGAATTTGCTGATGAAAATTCAATTTAAAGATGACTAGAGGTTTACTTATCCAAACATGGTGCTTTCTAAAAACGTTGTTCCTCTTTACAGTGAATTTACAGTCTTATTTCAGAATCAACACAAAAGTTCATAGCGTCTTCTACTTCAGATGAGAAACAGAGCAAGCAGAAGCTAAAAGGGAAAGGTCATATATTTTGTATGTGCCTAAGAAATGATGCTGTTTGTATGATGACGGCAACAGATTTTTCTCATTTTCCTTCTTAAAATGTATTCACTCAAGTGGGAGTTGGAAACTTTGCAAGACAACATTGTTTTGAAAAACATGGAAAGGACATCCATATAGATACACAAGGGTATAAACTGACGTAAGTAGGAAGCAGCCCCCTAATTGACCGAGGCTAAAGAAAAACTAGCAAAGTGACACACAAATCCTTCCAGTCTGCACTGGCTTAACTATTTATTCACAATAGCTCTCCAATGCATGTTGTTTCATGATTTGCCCCCACAACCCCCATTCTACCCAAATGAAGTCCCCTACTCACAGTCCAGATTCATGTGCCACCTCTTTCACGTGCTCATCTAATGTAGGAGCCTGACAGGAACTGACCTACAATGCTTTGTTCATCTAGAGTCACATGAGCCATGCCTTTCACCAAAAAAGATGTAAAACTGACCATTTTAAATAGAGTATTTATACACATGGCACACACTGGAACATCCCCAGGGGTTCCTTGAATGTGTATTGTCAATGAGCAGATCTAGGCTCGAAGGCATCACGGGAGGGTCAAAACAAGACCCAGAAACCCATATCCATGAGTCTAAGGGTAACATCACTTCAATTCCTGTACAGATAGATGGCTTACTGTTGTAGTTTGGAGCCCTTGAGTAGGCGGCCTGGCTGCAGTTTTTGCTCTGCTTCAAAAAATGGGCTACTGGCAAGGTGTCTAGAGGCCACATCGAGGTCATTGGCCAAACTTTGACCTTGCCTCCAGCAACTGAACTACCACACAGTGGAAAGGCTGTTGGCATCCTTCTTGAGGATGAACCGCATGACAAATCCACTCCCTTCTTCTCCACTTGAAAAAGGGAGTCTCCTGTTTTCATAGGGAACACATTCGTGCTCGCAACAGTCAAACTTACGTATGCAATCAATCTCCTGGCTTTGCCAAGAATTTATCAATGTAGGAAATTGCTCTTTTAAGTTACAGGAAGAGCAAGAAGATAATTCACTGCAAGTTACTAGAAACTGGGTCTTGTTACATGAGTTTAGGACAATAATAATTCAAAGGCAAAAAAAAGAAATTCCCAGCTTGATAATACAACTTTATAAGACATTATACCTTCTCCTCTAATACAGAGGTGATGTACTATAAATATTTTCTGCCCCATGACTGTTCTTTGCAATTTTCTGCAGCTGTAAAGCAGACTGGATATCTGCCTTACTTTCTGGTGTGCAAGAATAGCATAGCCTGCACCCAGGAAGAAAATATTCTGAAAACAACAGATTTTTACAATGATCTGCACAGCACAAGAGTGCTTTCTTCAAACATCTCAGAATTGCAATAATTCAAAACTTAAAAGTTAATTCTCAACAAGAGTCAGTGTATAATCATATACATGCAGTTTATCAACAATAAAAAAGCCCTACATTTATATTCAAGCGACTTCCACTCCCCCGCCCCCTCCCGCCGGTTCTTTAAAAGAAAAAAAAAAAATCAAATGGCATTTTGAACACACAAGAAAGCAAGTAAAGTCTCCCATTTACCATCTGTTATGCTTTAAACAGTCCATTGTTTAGTAATGATGGCAAGAGATACGCTGCCTCTTAGCAAAAGAAAAAAAAAAACCAAACTCATTATAAATCAAAGCATAATGCCTTTTGGACATTTAAGGCTCATGGAACAATGTGCAGTAAAATCTGCTCTCATTTATTAATTTTATACTTGCATTATGAATCATGCAAGTGTATGAATATTTCTATTGCACAGAGGACAAAACTGTATTTGTACATTTTTAATTATAAACTCCATTTCTTTCCTAGGAAAGAAAAATTTAATGTTGTCATTAAGACAACTAAACTGTTGTCTTAATGAAAACAACTCACTACTGAGAAGGAAGCTCGTTGTAGGCATTACTTATGTTTTCAAGGAATTAATAGCAATTCCCTTGAATTCTGTGGACTGCTAGAAAAAAGAAAGTAAACACAGAAATGGCCAGATTCCTGAGAAACAGAACATGAGAGATTAATACCAATTTGTCACCCAGCTGCCTTTCACACCTTAATCCATGTTCTTCAACTGTCAGAAAGATGCCTCCCTGCTTTTGCTGTAATCAAGGGTTTCTTAAAAAAAAGTAATACATCTATACAAACAAACCAGCTTTCAGTTTCCTTGTAGTGACTGACAAAATGAAACGTGGGTCAAAGCTTGGCTTTCAGCCTTTGACCTGTATGTAAGCACAGCAGAACATGATCTGTCCGGTTTCTAGATGAAGCAATTGTAATTTCCCAACCTGAGCAGCAATCAGTGTTGTGACAGTTATTGCTACAGAAGCTGGCTTAGTCATGCTGACCTCCCCAAAACTGCATCAGCCCAGCAGCACCACTACTGGGGCCTCCGAAGGAGAGCTGACACGATCACCTTTTATGTCCAGCGGTCACGCACATTCTCATCCCCACTCGCTGGAAAGACGCACTCGTATCTCGCAGAAGCAAACGTTATTTCACAGCTCTGTGGGTCTGTAGGCAGTGGTGCTCAGGGCACTCTGCACCGTTAAACCACAGTGCAGAACCAAGGCTATTCTCATTTGCACAACCAGAGAGCTTTTCAGTTTAGCCTTCAGGGATGCATCTTCTTCTCACTGGATTCTCAAATTGATCAATGCATGGACTTGCCAGGACCTTACTGCTCTTTGGATAATAAACATATGAAATCTTCTGTACAAGTCTATTATTGTTTCAATAACAACTAGTAGTGCGTACATTCTCCCTGGAGTAGAGTAGTCAATGCTCTCTGACCTCCTTTTCTTCTGCTAGTCATCAGCATCAAAATTTATACTGGCCTCACAGTGTGTTAAACTTAGGGGAAAAATAATTTTAAAAAGGGTATCATTAGTACTGTGTTCAGATGCAGAAAAAAAACGCACAGAGGAGGCCTGGATGTCTTGTGCAGCTGCCAAATTAATTCTGCAGATAAGGATTTGGCATCTACGATCTTGTACCTAATGTGATTCACATACTGCATACTAAACCACAGGGCCACATGGCAGTGTTCATCAGTTACTGCATCATTGTGATGTTATCTTGATAAACAGGTCACGAATGCATCAAGTTTCATTGTTTTTCTCTTTTCATTAAGAACTAAAAAACCTTACGGAATAGAAGTGGTACTCCAGGAGTCCTGTAAAGACAGTTCTCCTGGGTTTGAAAGCACCTTGCACATTTCTAATGGCCAGTGTTCTCACTTTTCCACTACTGCCCTATTACATCACAAGACAGTCTTAAGATGGGCATACACCTTATGTACATAAAGTGGAATCCAGATGAAAATTGGGTACAAAGTGTTTTGCTACCCTCAGGACTTGCAAACATGTACCTGGAGTTTATGAAATAGCGTCCTTTGAAACGCAGAGATTTAAAGCTCCTCTGGTGAACAGCAACAGGTTCCCACGAGCAGATTCTCACCCCCCTAAACACGACAGTTTTTCCCAGCTTAAGCTTAGCTCTGAGATTCCAGCCCCATTTGATATCATGTCAGCAGCTTCTCCAAAATGTAGCAAAAGAGCAGCCCAAGTTTTCATATACTTATACTACTAAATCAAGTACTGAAAAACTAGTTTATTTACAGATAGCCATCACATCTGCCCAGTTTGTCTTCACTTGTACTTAAAGTCTGGAGGCTTCTTCCCTATGACTGGCTGCTTTTTTTTTTTTTGGTTTGTTTTTTTTTGAATGCAAGCCAAGTCAAGTAAATTTGGGTATCTTGTTAGCATTTGCAGTTCTGTGTGAAAACTATATTTGTCCCTTGGTGATGACTGTCAAGTGAAAAGTCTTATCACAATATATGTTCTGAAATAAAGATACTTCTCTGAATTACTGCTTCTGAATCTAAACCAAGTGTAAATGAAAAAGCACCTTTGTAGTCTATACCCAATCTCTTATTTCATACTCCAGCTGGATCGTACACTACAAAATCTTCAGTAGTACCTTGCCTAACCTTAGCAGTCACTTTCCTGGGGAGGAGAAAACAGGAAAGGGAGAAAAAAAAAAGAAATTATGCAAAGAAGTTTCCCTGCATAAAGAATTGAGGATAGGTAGGAGCATATTTAGCATTTACAGCACGAGGCTAGGAAATAGAGAATGCAGTACTTGTTTTCTGTGCTCTAATTGCCTTCTTGCAGTATTATCTGGTTATATCCTTAACCTTAGTTATCTTTTTAGCCCATGCATTACCCTACGAAACACAGTGAAACTTAAGTGCAATAACAATGCTCTGAGTGGTAGCACTGGAACTGTTACAGACTCCTACTGTTAAGGTCTGTGATTTAACTTTTCTTTTTTTTTTTTTTTTTTCTTTTTTTCCTTTCTCCTCCAAGCTATCCCATTCCACAAAATCCCCATTCTGGAAGTAGATGGAGTTATCATTCACCAGAGCCTGGCAATAGCAAGATACCTTGCCAGAGAATCAGGTAACATATATTTGACTATTTTCTTGCTCTGTTCTGCACTCACCTTTAATGTTCAGGAAAAATACAGCCAACCACAGCAAAAATAGGAACAAACCAACAGCTTGGCAAGCTCAATCAAGCAGAAGTCAACACCAGCCTAGCAATACTGGTGCTCGGGCTTTCCCCAGGCACAAACAGCTAATAGTTGTCCACCTCTCATTGCACCTGCAGTTTGTCCGCCAGCACCAAGCGCTGCCCACAGAAAGGGAGACTACCATATCGGATGCTATTAGGGGTGCCACTCAAGGGGCAATGGTTTAAAAAGCACTGAAGAGTGCTGAGCGGTGGCATGCCCGCGTTCAGCAGCCTTCCTTACCATGATTTGCTGTCAATTTTTCTTGCTGAGTGAGGGCTGCTGTGCCAATCCTGGTGAGATTTCAGGCTACATCCCCTGTGGTTCCAAAATGAAGAAAGACCAATGCGCATCTGCTAGGGTGCTGTACAGCAGTATTTAGAGTCACTCAAATGTCACATAGAAAGTGAAAAACAGACCAAAAAAAAAAGGTTGAAAGAAGTAACAACTTGCAGTGTGAAATGCTACGATGTTCAGAGCTATCAGCTCTGCATACAATTACTGGGGCTTGGTCTGACTTCTCCAACCTTTATATTCACCTGTCACTGCACAAAGGACAGCATATTCCTGAGGCATTTCTGAGGCTCTCAGAGCAATTTCTCCTGGAGCGAAACCTTGAGATGTCATGCTAACCACAGATGACCAGGAGGAGGATGAGGTTTTGGAAGCATTAGAGATTATCACAGTCAGTAGGCAGAGCATTCTGAAGCAGGTTTAGGCAACAATTCTGAGCTGTGAGAGACATTAGGTCAGATGGTGACATCACTTGCATCTTTAAATACTTAACATGTTGAAAGTGCTTGACCAGTTAAAGTGATATAAGACTTAGTAATGCAAGTAATCACAGAGAGAAGTCAGGGCTTGCTTTAGGTCAAGCTGTCATTCAAAACCATCTGCAAAACTGGACTGGTTGAAGGCGGACGTGTTCGTGGCACGCTGAATGTCAGCAAATTGAAGAGGGGGCCTGGGAAGCAAGTAATATCCTACTTTTTTTACATGCCGAGCAGAGAGATGTAACCTGCCTTTCAAAACGCCTCACACTTCCCCACTAAGGAGACAGGCAGACGTGCAGAGCACTATTCTTCAAGGCACTAGCACAAGATTTTCCAGCATGTCTGCAATACTGTATTCCTGCCAATTCCCTCCATCCTTGATACAATCTGCTGCTTGCAAGAGAAGAGAATTATGAGCGTCCACCTGGTAATGAAAATGATGAGAAAAGCCTGCCTTCCACCCACACTGCCTCCCTCCCAGTCTCCTATCGGGAGGCTGATCTGGAGCTGTGCTCCTTTTATGATTTGAAGTTCTGACTTAGGCATTCACCCAACAACTTGTCCATCAGCTTGCAACACCAGAAGGGCTAAGATTCTGGAGAAAACTCAGACCATGCTGTACTCCTTGCGGTATTAATCACAATCTTGGCTACAGCAGGAAAAACTGTGCATGGAAGGGGAAAAAAAAAGTTATAAAACTCATAGCAAAACCGGCTTCTGATGTTTAGTCTGCATATATGTCATGAAGCCTTCAAAATTAAAAAATTCTATTTTTAGGTGTCTATCACTAACAAATATTTACTGAAGGCTTACAAAACAATGCCCTAAAGGAGAGTCACATCCCTTGCCTTCAAAACTATAAAGTTTCAGTAAGGGAAATTACTTGGCAGAGGAAGGGCATAAGGTTTATGGGAGCCACAGAGCTTCCATGTGAGGCTTAAAGAACCGAGAGAGGAAGAAACAGATGACCTGCACCTGCACTGAGGTGAAAGCAGACTTTAACAGAAGCACTTTCAGAGGTTGTGTTGAGAGATGGAAAGACCAAGAGAACCATGAAAGATTAACAGAAAGAAGTTGGTTCTGAACCTCACTGAATGTCCTGGGATGGTGGAAAGCAGAGAGTAGGATAAAGAAGTAGTCATGAGGCCATGGGCTCAGGTGACGGAAAGAACAACTCACTACCTCAGATGGCTATATGAGGCTGGATGGAGAAGAAAAAAGAGGTAGATGAGATTGCATCTGGATGCAAGGATCCAAGCTCATGTTGTTAGCACCCAAAAAAGCATGCATGTTTATGGAAATGTTCAAAGAACAGGGTTTACCTTTGGGACATCAAAAATTCTTGCTGCTGCCGTCCCTAACCTCCCTTCATGTGCTTGCTTCCCACAGGTCTGGCCGGTCATACACCTGTGGAACAGGCACTTGCTGATGCTATTGTGGACACCATAGATGATTTCATGACACTGTTCCCTTGGGCAGAGAAAAACCAGGATGTGAGAGTAAGGCAATCACTCATTTAAACAAAGATAGCACATAAGTCATGCCTCTGTACCTGAGCATCTCCTCTGGAGAAACTGCCATCTGCCAACCCCTGGGTCCATCACCTCCCCTCAGCAATCTGATCCGGAGGAGCTCTGTGCTTCTTCCTCCAGGCTAATCCAGCGCCATCCCATCTTCCTTTTTGCCCTTCTGCATCTTGATTTCTACTTGACTTTCACTGTCTCAACCTTCAATAACATCAGCTGCTAGGGACAAATGCTTTTCAGTTACCAGGGTAGTGTAGGACAGTGGGCACTGCTAAAGAGGAGAGGTAGCACATCCCTCACTGTCACTGTGGCTTTGGTCCCCAGACCCCTATGGCCTCACCTCGTTCCTCTGTGGTGCTTCTGCAAATACTGATGCCAGGCTAACACGCTGCCATGGCTACTTTAACACGCAGTCACTGGCAGCTCCACAGCAATCATTTGGGTTGGGATTTTTTGGCATCAGTCCAGCCCCTCTCAACAGAGTCCCCAACGCAAGCATGCACATCAGCTGATGGGGAAGAGGGTGACGGCTGACTTAATTCCAGCGTTACGATGGCTGCACGCAGCTCTGACCCCAGCAAATGATCTGGGCCTTTTAGGAAAGGAGTAGTATCTCACAGATATCACCATTAACTACAACTCAGCCACCTTCCATTTACCCAAAGGTAATGTTTCAGGCAGAGTAGGGTATCTTATTACAGAAACCACAGGGTGCAAAATGTTGACCAAACCCAGTAATTAATAATGAAACAATATTAAAGTACTCTGAAATCTTGCAGGGAAAAAATCTGATAGTGTATTTGGAGTTTTTAGTATTTGAAAAGTGAATTACTTAATTTCCTCAGGATTCCCTGAAGTTTCCTCATTTGTGTCCTCAGGTTGACTCATGATTTTTAATCATTTAGGGACAAGCCACACTACTGCTAATGTGTTAGTTTAGAAGCAGCACAACTGCCACAGTACTGCTACTCCTTTACAGGGAAACTCCCAGGGTAATGCCTGCCTGTGTCCCAGCTCGTACTCAAGCACTCCTCCAAATAAGAACCCAGACCACATCACCGGTGATTAATTTAAAAGGGCAGAGAGTTGACAGGCAACCCTTATATGCCTGTAGGCACGTATGCATGCAAAGGAATGTTTTGGGGCCAAGGAAGATGGAGAAACTTACTTTCTGGGAATCCGTCACGTTTTTCTCACTATTAGCTGTCCTCCTCCCACTCTCCTCCCGGGTCCACTGCCCCCACCTTGTGATAGAGGTGGGGTCTCATGGTCTCAGATTTCAGTAATCTACACACGGTAAAGTCAGAAAACTTCCATGGGCCTGCCAAGTGCTAACAGGAACACAAATCTCTCAGAAAGATGAAAGGATGTGTTACGCTATGCAGCCAGTAGCAAAGAGAGACCCAAGCAAAGTAGAGGGAGCAGAGGTGGAAGCTACTCATGGAACGTCCCTCCGTGCCAGGCACAGACTCTCCCTTCACCATACACACCCCTTTCCCAGAAAAACAGCTGGCATTGGACAGCTTTGTCATGCATTGCTGGAGAACTCCAGGGTTGAGTCAAGCAGGTCAGGTCATGACGCTCCAGAAGGTGGATCCATGTTGTGCCCACACCAGCTCCACAGGTTCCGTAGTTGGGAGAGGTCATTACTGTCATGATCACACAGAAGTCTGGGGTTATTTTTTGCAGGGGGTGTGGTGGAACTTACCTAAAAAAAGGGGAAATGCTACAGCACAGGGTAAAAATATGAAATTTCTGGACTGCAAACTTTTGGCTGTTACTTTCAGTCACAACGTTCAGTTACTAAGCTCTTAGCAGAAAATTGTGTCAAATCTTCAGACACATCTGCATAAAATCTGATTTTATTTCAGACTGCTTTTTTGGGACCATTTAGGCTGCTGCCACTTTTTTTTTTTCATTAACCTGAATTTCAGAGCTGTTGGAATAATTCCCTTCCTATGTAGCAGTGCTTATTTAACCAAGCCTGACTACGTTCCTCCAGAATTAGGCTAACCACACTAACTGCACAAACTGTGCCACATGGGTCAGACCAGGCGATCGTAACAGTCTGCAATCTCAATTGCTTCCATGCAGGTGAGAAGACCAGAAAGAGTTTCCCTCCCCTAAGTAAACAGTTAACCCTTTAAAAGCAGCCCTAAAACTCTCTGCTATGGGGAACAGCTTGTAGAGAACCACCACCATACACAACCTCATTTGTTACTAACATACAAACACTAAGGCCTGTAACCTCCACTGCAGATTTCAATCTCCAAAAACATTTTAACCACCTCAAATCTCATTGCTGCGGGGACAAAAGGCAGGATAACACGCTAACATAGAAGCTCAAAGATAAACCCAGCAAAAGCTGAAAACTCAGGTTCTACAACTTGCATGAGAAGGGCTGATAAGGAAAGATAAGTGACCAGCACCTGACTGACCGCACAGAAAGACTGAGCTTAAGGGACTCTGGAAATTTGAGACACTGTACACCAGAAAATACAATATCCAAAAGAGTCCCAACAAATACTGAGAGACACTGGGAATATATTTCATAAATGGATTCTTCCTAAATCTATGGCAGGGCTCCTGCCTCCCCACAGCTGGGTGGCTGTTGGCACAGATAAACGAGCAGCATCGCCCCACACCTCGTGTCTCAGCATCCAAGAGTTCTCTGGTATTCATTAAGCAAGTAATTGTCTTAAGTCACAGCTCACTGAGCCACGAATGATGTGTTTTGGGCACCTAACCCACTTCAGGGGTAACTAACCCACTTCAGGGGTAATTACCTCAGCTTTCCTAAATTCTGTAGCGCCTCTTCGCATATATCCAAGTGACAGTTATCTCAGCATTTCTTTACTTATCCTAAATAATTGCTGTTTGCTGTATTAATCCTGACTTGGATGTTAACATATTCCTTTTCCAGAGAGAACTGAGAGTACTCTAAAGTTTGGTTCAGACTAAGTGACTTCACTATCAGCTTTTTCAGATTTCTGCTTTCTTTTTCGCCAGTAAGAAAACCCCCCCAAATCAATTTTGCTGACTTCTGTACTTAGGCATCGGTGTGCATCTTTGTCTTCCGTTCTTCCCCCAGAAACAAGCATTCGATGATATCCTCACCAACAAAGCGCCTGAGCTACTCAAAGATTTGGATACTTTCTTAGGGGATAACACCTGGCTGGTAGGGAAGTCTGTAAGTATAATCTTTGTTTCTCCCATTCCAATCAGGTTGCCAGAAAAATAAAATTATTGACTATTGTTGAGTCTCCGGGTTTCATGCCAGCCCAGGAGACAATTCTCCCCACTCTTTAAACTCTTCATTGTGTCTAATGCACCACTGGTCACTCACCTGCAAAGTGAAAACTGTTTTCCATACTATTAGAAAAGAGAGGCAAACCAGGACTAGGATCTGCGTTTTCTAAGCCAGTGTAGAAGTACGTTGACACAAAACATTATAAATTACTTCATATTCATCAATACAGATGGGAGTCATTTAGAACTCTGCTTATAATCACTGATCAATTTATATGACAGTATGAAAAAAACCCTATGAAAATGTAATCCCCTCTTTTACCCAAAACTGTTTGGAAACTCATTAATATACTTTTCTGCAGTAGCAGGAAAGATTAACATTATAGTGCAAGTAATATTGATAGCAAGGACTTCAGTTAAGCAATTTTTACTTCAGTCAAGCCTTGCACTGCAACCCAATTATTAGCGCTGTTATTATAAGTTTTAACGAAAAGAAACAAACTTACGCAAAACAGATGAATTCATGTTTCATTTCTGCAGTTTGCTGAGATATTAGCAGTCACAGCTTTTGAGATTATCAACTAAAATTTACCGCTTCCTCTCCCATTTCCACCAGGTAACGTGGGCCGATTTCTACTGGGATGTGTGCAGTACGACACTTCTGTCCTGTAAACCTGACCTGGCAGACAACTACCCCAGGCTTCTGGCTCTCAGAGACAGAGTGCAGGCACTTCCAGCTATTGCGGCCTGGATCCAGAAGAGACCGAAGACCATAATGTAGATCAACCACTCAGACTAGAAAAAAACCCAAACAATTGCATGTTTAGTTTTCAAAATGACAAGCATCCTAAGTTATTAATTTTAGAGTAATTTAAGTTAATTTCAGATGGGTATGCTATACCAAAATCTACCACCCAGATGCGTTTGTAACAGAATCTGAAAAGCTGATTTAGTAGAGTAGAGCCTGAGGGAGAGGTCTGGATTCACCCACATTCCACCCACTACTAATAAAGTGCTTGACCAACCCAATTAATGTTCTGTGGACTCTCAAAGGGAGAAGAGATGAATAAACCTTCCTGGAGAGAAGCAATCTCAGTACTTTGTTTATTGCAGACTTTCAATCTGGAGGAAAGTGGGCTAATTAACAGAGAGGATAAACGTGTGGGAGGACTAAGGACACTAAGCAAAAGAAGCAAAAACACCTGACATACTTCGTCAACAAGCTACAAGCTTCTTAAGAACTTTCTTTAGCCTCTTCAACTGTATGCTGTGCCAATGTAAAACAAACCAACAAACCAACCAAAAAAAACCCCAAAACAAGCAGCTGCCCAGCTGAGCTGGTGACCACACCAGCACCAGTTCTCCCTAAGCACACCAGCTAAAAGCATCCAGCAGCTCAGTACCTCTTTCAGTAAGCAGGAGACACAAACTGGGGGTGGTGGTTGGCAGCAGGGGTTGGAAACCAGGTTTAGAACAAACGAACGAACAGTTTTGTTGTTCTGTCACCGGGTAAAACAGGCAGGTGGAAATCCTGTCAACACAGGGGGTTGTCCGTGCAAGCGGTTTACACAAACCGGAGGGGAGACAGGTGCTTGCAAGGAGTCTGCTGCGTGGTGCAAGCAGATAAACCACAAACATGGGCAATCCTCGGGGTTTGGAGGGAAACTGTTTCCCTTCACGCGTGCTTTTCCCCTCCCACCTTAAGTCATTGAATCGTGTCACCAGCCAACCACTAACAGTTTGGAGACAAATCAGGTGCTGGCAGGACTGAAAGCAAGAACCAATCTTTTGCTCGTTCCAGTACAGTATTTCCACCTGCTTGGCAATTCCTTGCACGCTTTTTGTTCGAGCTCTTTAAAGACTTTTCCCTTCTTCAGCTTCCACTATCCTCTATTCTTCAGTAACAGACTTCAGAGAGCTGCTTTTGGGTTGTTTTCCCCCTGTATGTCTTTCCCAACCAGAGACACGGTTGATGTTGGAAAGGACCACTGGAGGTCATCTGCTCCAAACCCCCTGCTCAAGCAGGGCCACCTAGAGCCAGCTGCCCAGGACTGCAGCAGACAGCTTTTGTCTCTCCAAGGACGGTGACTCTACAATCTCAAGACCTCAATTCAAGAGCATAGAAACTGTTACAGTAAACAAAAAAGGTAGAAACACGTGAGCGTCACAGCCCTAAAAGACAGATATTGACCCCAGGGGTCAAGGGATGTGATTGTTTAAGGAGTAAACACTGCTTAGCCAGACTGCATTAACTGATGGTGCACACATACCAAACGGAAACACCACACCAACCAACCTGTAAGGGCAAAAAATGTGTTTCGTTTCACATTTGATGCAAACAGGTGAGAACACGCAACTGCAGCAGCCTAAGAGGTGGGTTACGATCATGCTCAGAAACAGACAATCTAATTAACGACACCTTTAAACATTTGTGGTACTCTGGTAAATCCCACTGTTGAGTCCAACCAAACAGCTGGAATTAAAGCAGCATGGTAGATAAACGGATTCTTACCCTTCTCCTTCACACCGGGGCAGCCAAACTGACATTCCCATATGCTTACCCTAGTTCAGCTGTGCATTTTGGAATGTGCAGCACAGCCACAGAAGATTTCTAGTAAAAGCCAAGTACAGTTTAGTTCAAACAGTGAAAATATTTTTAAAACTTTCATTTCCCACCCATTTTGTACTTGCAGAAAGCATGTGCACTTTGTGATAACCACATGGCTTCTATAGGTATGCAGGGGATAAAAGGAAGATCAGAGAAAATGTGGCCCCTCTGCAGAAGGAAACGGGAGAGCTGGTTTCCCAGCATATGGAGAAGGCCAAGGTACTCAACGCTTTTTTTGCCTCGGTCTTCACTGGCAAGGGCACAAGCCGTACCCCCGTCACCAAAGGCAAGGGCAGGGACTGGGAGAAGGAAGAGCCACCCACGGTCAGTGAGGATCAGATTCGGGAACACCTGAGGAACCTGAAGGTGCACAAGTCCATGGGACCTGATGGCATACATCCACAGCTCCTGAAAGAACTGGTAGATGGGATTGTGAAACCTCTATGCATCATATTTGAAAAGTCATGGCAGTCTGGCGCAGTTCCTTCTGGACG